TGACTGGAATCCTGCTTGCTGTTCTGGAGTCCCACCATCACGCGACTTGGTTAGACGAGGTGAAATCAGCCAAGTGAAGGGAAGATCCGATTTCAATGAGGGTCAAGCAAATTCCTCTGTGCTTTCCACACTCACTGCGGGCACCATTTTTGAAAACGGCCACCGGTGTCTAGACACCCCAGTAAGTTGGGACAGTCTCCTTTGTTCAGATAGATGCAAGGAGGTTGGGTAAACTCTAACTGAGGATTCCACCATCATCCTTGAACAGAGCGGTTGCGATTTCGTTAGGACCAGTAGCTTGGTAAAGCTTGAGGGACAAGTGGTATTCACTTATCTCGGAAGCTCTTACGGAGATAGGTCACTGTCCAGAGCATTAAATCCACCAACAGTTTACCAAAGCTCTCTAAAACAGTGAATGCTGAATCGGCTCTAAACCTACTCCAAATGGCTTCTCAGAATGCGACAGTTAAGTGAACCATAAACTTAGCCATTCCGGAATTGGAGTATATTTTTCAAGCTGCCGTTCTCTCAACTAATCGGGATTATGTTCATAGTCACACTACTCTCGTTTGAACGGTCGCCCTCCTGTTTTGGCTTAATTATTCCGGTGAGTCCACACCAAAGGAGAGCACTGGACCCAAGTTTCGCTCATCATCCAATGGCCGAGCCGGGATTTGAACCCCGGACATCTGACATTCAAGGCAAGCGCGTAACCACTACTCCACCAGCGCATGTTGGACGCATCTGAATTAGAAGTAAACACATCTACGATGTTTGTCGTTGTAGTTGTCACGTTCACAAGTCATCAACGCTGTTCCTATATCTTTATCGGAAACCGAAAAGGAAAGTTCATTTCATAAAGGAACACAGTTTCGTAAAGTATACGAATAATGAGAGATTTTCCGTCCCTGATCATCACTGACTTCCCAACGACAATTGTCATTTGATTCATATTTCTATAATATGTGGTTAAATCGCCAATCAAAGAGGTCCCGCACAGTATATCGACCTACACAATTATATTCAAAACGTTGTGGAAATTCACCAAGTATGCACTCTGGAATTCCTTAAGACAAGAAAATCGTATGCTGGCCCCATTAATATCAGTTATCAGTGTATGGGTACCTCACACACACTATCTCTCACACACACGAACGCTCGTGCGCTGAGAATTCAGTTTTGTAAGTCCCACGAGTGTCCTCCACAACACAAACGAGGCAACAGTTGGAACAAACATCCAGTGTGTCTGATCGGCATCAACAAAACGCTCTAAGGACTTGGTAATTTCTTCTATTTAAGCTGGGTGTTACGTTGAATTCAATGGTGGGGGTGTGTAGAATTCTGACATTGTTGGTAGAATATCTTGAAAACCTTATTGTTGAACTGAGCAGGGTCAAGGCTAATTATACGAATAGCTCAGTGAATCACAAAGAGTACAGCTTTCGCGAACACATTGGAATTTTTTTCCTCCGCTAAATCTAGGTTCATTGCTCTAGTGTTTTTTTCCCAAAGGCTTCACTAGCATCGGGTGTTTCATTGTCATAAAATAATTCAAAAATAGGTGAGAAAGACCTCAAGACAAAGACGGATAACGAAAGGGGGAATAAGTGTGAAATTCAGCATGAGAGTTTCTAGACATTTTGGAGTAATCTCCTCACATGAGAAGACAATTCCTTTTAGCCTGTCACTGTACCGTCCCGTCCTATTGCACCTTCTCTCCTATCAAAGAATACGGACAGTGCTAACTGCAGATAGTTTTGATCAGGGCTTATCCGAAAACCATTACTACTAACATCGCTCGAGTTGACGCAAAATCTACGACGATAGCAGAGTGAGAACAGAATACAAGGAAGCAGAGGGCATCCGTAGCTGACCGAGTTCCGCCAGCGTTCCCTGGCCGCAAAGCGAACTACAGCGGTTTTCAGTCAGATCACGGACATGTTGTAAGCAATAACCCCTGTCCTTGAAAAAAACGGAAAGAATCTGTGTACCCGTTAACAACGTAAAAGTTTCCAACTTTCAGCCTGGAATGTTCGGTTTTCCCTGCTGTTAATCAACTGATTCCACGTTCAGTGTTTACGCCTGGAGCATCGTCATCCAGCGGTGTCCTTTATTTCCTGAGCTAATCACTGACAAGGAGGGATTAGTAAGTCAGTTAGTCCAAAGGCGGTCACCTAATGTAGTTTTCTTGTTCTGTTATGAGTTTGGGAAAACCGAGCCAATGCAGTCGCACCATACAAGTGTCTAAGCCTCTCCGGTTTGACCACCGAGACAAAAGGGTCGATGCGATTAAGGATGGACTGCATTTCTGTTGAGCCCTTGCCCAACATGTTGACGCTACCAATGTGAACAGACTCCGCACCCATAAGACAGGGTCATTCGCCCAGCGGTGTCTAAATCTGGCGCTGTTTCCTCCCTTCGCCATAGACCCAAATGCGAACTTTTGTGTCTTTGCGGTACACTGGGAGAAAACTTAACAGCTTATCTCGCAACTTTCATGGCAGACCAAAAGGGTCTGCTTTTTAGTGAACCAAATGCAGTCAGCGAAATAAGCAATACTGGTTGGTGGAACTTGTGGCGTTGCAGTGAGGATATTTGATCAACGCAACCTCCCTGAGTCTGTCTGATGTGAGTTTCACCAGGTTCTCTCAAGCGGCGCGATACTAGCACGGAATGGATTTTGACTATGCGGTCCATCAAGCAGGTAATCTCGTAGGTTTCACATATCACTCTATCGCCTTTCGGGATATCAAGAGTAGTGTATGCATATGCCAATCCATTAGAAGCAGTTCGGGGTTATTATACTAAAATGCCCTTTCGAACTGATTACAGCCCTTGGGAACTAACGATTCTATCAAACCCAAGCATCGCATCTGCGTCTAACAAATCATCTGTGCAAGATATCCGGTCAGACAAGAAATTGTGTGAAATTCCTGAAGCACAAACAGCTTGCACGGTTTCCTCCACGAAGCTGGAAATGAATTGAAGAAAACTGAATGGGACCCAGCCACCTCACTCCATTCAACCGAGTCAAAACACTACACTAACTCCGATGGAGTACTCAGAACCTATGTCATATGTGGAATGGACTGAAGAACTGGGGATCAACGCACCGGAATTGTCAGACATAATGATACTATCAGTCTAAAAAATCTTTTAGCTATAACACCCTTTCGGTGCCTAGCTGCCATGCCACCCGGAGGAAGCACTAGGGCTGGGATACTGCCTGCCTGCCAAAGCCCAGACAGGGGAAGCCGAGAGGAAGAGTTCTGGTTCGAACCACGAGCCTTCCGGCCAGTAAATTCGCTCTACAACCACTTGAGCCACCTCGCCCCCAGTCAGTCTCCGTGTGCCTAGCTGGGACTTACGGCACACCCGGGGCCAGATGGCAAACAGGGATCTAAATAATCACGCAACTCAGCCGACACAACCACTCAAGGCCAACACACATAATGAACATACATAACAGAAACATGTTAATCATTTTGGTGGACCCAGATAATGCTGTACTTGGCCAGTATTCGATTAAGTGTAGAAACTTTTGAGGAAGGCCGTCCACGACACCCGGGGCTCTCATCATCGACAGCAAAACACCAGTAATATCTACTAGTGTGACCGGCATCCCACCGTAGTTCGACCTTAATAATAATAATTAATACTATCACTACTATAATTCGTTCAGCTGTAGCATCCTTTCGGTGCTTAGCTGCCATGCCACCAGAAGGAAGCACGAGGGCTGGAATACTGCCAGGTTGCCCAAGCCTAGACGGGGGAAGTTGAGAGGAAGAGGTCAGGCTTGAACCACGGACCGCGCGATACTAGCACGGAATGGATTTTGACTATGCGGTCCATCAAGCAGGTAATCTCGTAGGTTTCACATATCACTCTATCGCCTTTCGGGATATCAAGAGTAGTGTATGCATATGCCAATCCATTAGAAGCAGTTCGGGGTTATTATACTAAAATGCCCTTTCGAACTGATTACAGCCCTTGGGAACTAACGATTCTATCAAACCCAAGCATCGCATCTGCGTCTAACAAATCATCTGTGCAAGATATCCGGTCAGACAAGAAATTGTGTGAAATTCCTGAAGCACAAACAGCTTGCACGGTTTCCTCCACGAAGCTGGAAATGAATTGAAGAAAACTGAATGGGACCCAGCCACCTCACTCCATTCAACCGAGTCAAAACACTACACTAACTCCGATGGAGTACTCAGAACCTATGTCATATGTGGAATGGACTGAAGAACTGGGGATCAACGCACCGGAATTGTCAGACATAATGATACTATCAGTCTAAAAAATCTTTTAGCTATAACACCCTTTCGGTGCCTAGCTGCCATGCCACCCGGAGGAAGCACTAGGGCTGGGATACTGCCAGGCTGCCAAAGCCCAGACAGGGGAAGCCGAGAGGAAGAGTTCTGGTTCGAACCACGAGCCTTCCGGCCAGTAAATTCGCTCTACAACCACTTGAGCCACCTCGCCCCCAGTCAGTCTCCGTGTGCCTAGCTGGGACTTACGGCACACCCGGGGCCAGATGGCAAACAGGGATCTAAATAATCACGCAACTCAGCCGACACAACCACTCAAGGCCAACACACATAATGAACATACATAACAGAAACATGTTAATCATTTTGGTGGACCCAGATAATGCTGTACTTGGCCAGTATTCGATTAAGTGTAGAAACTTTTGAGGAAGGCCGTCCACGACACCCGGGGCTCTCATCATCGACAGCAAAACACCAGTAATATCTACTAGTGTGACCGGCATCCCACCGTAGTTCGACCTTAATAATAATAATTAATACTATCACTACTATAATTCGTTCAGCTGTAGCATCCTTTCGGTGCTTAGCTGCCATGCCACCAGAAGGAAGCACGAGGGCTGGATGCCAGCCAGGTTGCCCAAGCCTAGACGGGGGAAGTTGAGAGGAAGAGGTCAGGCTTGAACCACGGACCATCCAGTCAGTAGATTCTTCCTCTAACCATCACACTCAATGACGGATGGTAAGATGTGTTGTGCGTGTCAACTTACCGTTTGATTGAGGAATTCTTGTGTTGTGTTTCCTCCGTCTGCACTTTTTTACACAGGATACTGATATCAGAATCTGCCCTTTCACGTTTAAGGTATTTCAACCTTAAGCATTCCATTTGCTCTCATTTGCCTGAGAGCCCTATCCATCATTGAAAACACGTATGAACAATGGTCGCATATCCCAAATGACAGCCACTAATTATAATCAACCTAGACATTCATTTATTCATGTAATGGGTCCGCAGATTGGTGCATTATTCTGCGGTAGCCACGGTATGCAGACTGATTAGCTTGCTTGTTAAATCCTATCATAGTGACCATAAGTAGGATTGATCTCACACTCCTTCTTCTATGCTAATTTAATGCATTAGCCACAATGCACCGCGCATTTCTAAAGCCCAACGCGATTAGTCATTCCAACAGGCACTTTGATTCGGGATCAACACCTGGAGATTCGGTTTGACAAGCCACGCCACACAGTCCACATCGCATGACCATCCATGTTCCAAATAAGGGTTGAAAGTTCCGTAGTAATCGAAGATCAATCAGATGCCACATCAGGAAGGTCAGGTTACTGAAGACTATCCCAAAATACCCAATACCTACTGAGACCCTCAGATGCCACTAAACGCCAATCGGACAGACAGTGCTCTTCAAAATATAGCGCGAGACAACCTTGGATCAAGGTCAACACTGCTACCTGAATATGTAGCGCGAGGCCGTTGTAATTTTTGCACTCACTTGCTTGTTATCAATAAAGCTGTTGTGTTCCTTGTCGGTGAGTCTTTTTCCGGCACTAAGTACCGGAGCGGGGAGAGCAGTCAGATATAACGATTAGTGATGATTATTTTGGCCATTGAGAACTTAGCTAGTGCAATGCAACTGTGTTTACAGTTTTTCTATTCAGACCTACGCAGTTTTACCAACGTCTGAACAGATAAATTATCAGTGCGAGACTTATGTAGCATCCGATATGCTAGTTCCCACCACGTGACATCCAACCCGTGAAGTGTTCTTAAAACAACCAAATCGTGAGATTCTACGGACGTTCACAGAGCCAGAATGATTGTACACGTTTAAAAATTCGGGGAAAGGACGGAAGTTCGCTGGAAAAAAGGCAAGAGATGGTGATCAAAAGGGCATCTTGTAAGTACGGTGACAACTTGTTCAACAGGCGGCAGTGCCACAATAGGGAAAATCAGCGTGAGGAAGAGGCCAACCCGCAAGGCCTACTCAAGTAAAATATGCGTAAAATACAAAAAAATATAAGGTTGAGAAATTCTGAGTAGTGAGGACCGCAGCTAAGTGACCAGTTCACTTCAAACGTGCGACTGCTGAACTCCGGCGATTTCGTGGATCAACTTTAGAAAGCGTTCATCTCCCACAATATGTAAATGTTCCGCACCTTCCAGAACAATGTATTTTGCACCAGGCCAAAGCCGACAAAGTTGAAGACTACGCAAATGCACGGTTCCATCCCCATCTCCAGTGATAAGAGTAGGATATTCATCGGGAAATCCTTTGTGAAAGAACGACGGTTCCGGATAGACCAACTGATACGTGGTGCTGACCTTCGATCCATGAATGCAGTAGACTTCATCCAATCCAGTTGGACCCATGAAACCATCTACGGAGGGTTTCGTGTTTTGCAAAAAAGCATATCCTGAAAGGAAGACAAGGAGAAATAATGTGCAGGTGCACACACACAGGTGATAAACGAGTCAATCACAGGCACGTTGACTGAACGAGTAAATAAGCGGTGCCACCCGTCATGTTTTCGACGGAAACCACTTGGAGTGAGAACCACCAGACTTTATGATTGGTAGACATTTTTCACTTTAAAAAAAAAGAAACAAGGTAGCACACTGATTACGGTCCAGAACGAGAAAGCCAACAACACTGTAAAAGGGGAGGGAATCACACCACAGCAGCTCCTCAAGCAACTGAGTTTACTGGCCACGGTTATCATGATTTGTCGCCACACATTGATCGGCTCAAGTGATTCCGCAGGGCGGACAATGCCCTTGAACCACCGTAACCTAAGAAGTGTGACAGGTCGTCCAACATTGACAAGATCCTTGTTCCGAAAAGTATATGAGAAATCCTAGAATGCCGACTTTGCTACTCTCATATGCGATCGACGCCTCGGAAATATAGAAGATAACAGATTGAACGCATTTTCGTGCTTGCGAGTCCGGGTTACATCTCTGGTCCACAGAGCAGTATTGTTCGCACCGCCCTGATCATATCCCGCTCTTTACAGAAAAGGTTGGTTCATGTGGGCACAGAAGATAGCGGACTTTGAGAAAAAGTGTGCATCAGCCTTCCTGACTCGAGAAGTGATTTCATCTTGTGCAGTTCGTCGGGACTTATGCGACTACCCAAACAGATTTACTTTGTAAGACTCATCGACTGGTTCATCCAAGAGCATGAGGTTTAGGTTTTTAAAAAATCGTTCAGCTGTAGCACCTTTCTGTACCTAACTGCCATGCCACCCGAAAGTTGCACGAGGGCTGGGATACTGCCAGGTTGACCAAGCCTAGACAGGGGAAGTCGAGAGGCAGAGGTCGAATTCGAACCACGGACCTTCCGGTCAGTAAATTCGCCCTCTGATCACTTGGGTCATCACGCCCTGAGGTTTGGGTTTACTCTCACCCAATCCTGGAGTAAGGCTTCACATTTACATTCGTGGAGCGCAATCTAAACCGCGTGGTTCAAGTAGTTACCCTGTTCATAATAACTCGCATTCTGAAAGAAACGGATGTTAGAGACGGAATATTTTCAAAGCGCTTGGCAGACGTCCGCCGACCTCTGAGTTGGTACAGGCAATAATGAACGAAAGGTTTTACCATGTGGAAATAACGACGTCAAACGGTTAGAGTGGAAGATGAAAACTCAGTATGAAACGATTGGACAGCCCCCAGTATACATGTGCACGGATCGCTTACATATTCTACACATCCACAGGAACGCCAGATCAGGTAGAACAGCATAGCACCTAAATGGCAACTGATTCAATAAACAACAAACAGTGGTTTTGCAAACTGCTGGTTCAGCATATACCAAGTAGTGTGGGTTTAGACGTTCGGTAGACAGAAGTGTCCTAGTGAGTGAACATATCCACACAAACACGCTGCGCTCGCGAGAGAGTGAAAAAACACTCAACACAGCTCTGAAACGATAAACAGAGATTCTCAAAAAAAGTTGATGAGCGTGGTTCAGGCCGGAAGGACTTCTTACTTCAAGGGTAACCGTAAACGCGCTCCAATCTCAATTACACAACTCTATCACGAATGAGTAGTGTGTGTGGGGGGATTCAAAAATTGCAACTGTAACACCAGTTTTCATGGAACTGATTCAGAATACCTTGCCTTTTATAAGTCGTACCAAATGCTACTAATGGTACCATCCGAGAGGAATCCGCTGACGAAAGGACAGTATGTTTTGGTCCAATAACTTATCATCGAACCTTCTCGACGTTCAGCCTGTACGAAAAAACACCTTACTTATACGGTGTTTTTGCAACGGGTTCTTTTGATCACTCATACTGTGAAGACATCATAAATATCTGTTCAACTGACGAGACATGACAATTCCAGGCCAAGCGATGGGTTTCGCTAAGTAACGACAACCAGATGTCGTTTTTACACTGCGGCACTTCATCCCGACCAACTGTAGAGCGAGCACCACATCATGACGACATTCTCGGGGTACTGCGTCCCGAAACAATGGTGTGCAGAATATTTATATATGCATGGATTTCCACCCGGATTTTCGTTCTAATTGCAAGCGTGTAGGCGTGCGTGAAATTATAGATTGCACGTTATCACATGGTTACTGTTGACGTTAGATTTAAAACCACAGTAATCCTAGAATCGAACGTGAAGCATGCGGCGAAACACTTATGCCATCAGACAACATTGCTCATCTTGCAGAAGACCACTAACAATATGTGAAGCAAATGCACTTGTTACATCTGCAAACAGAATGGGAAATGGTTGTTGGTCTGTTCGCCGAGCTTGGCGGGGTGATTGAAAAGGTTTCATCCCCAATCGAGGTGACATCGTCAGTGCAGTGCACTGAACCCTGCACTGACGATGTCATCTCGATTGGTGATGAAACAGTTGCAATCCAACTGCCAAGCTCGTCGAACAGACCAACAACCAACCAGCGCGACCGAGCTACCTACATTCCACAACATTGCCGGAATGGGAAATGTCCGCAAGGCTATATGGGTCCATACAACACAAGCGAGTCATCACAATGTGAAAAATACCGATCGGGTATGAGCGAATTTAAGGGAGATGAATTACACGCATTTGATTTCATTGTTCATCATAGGCAAACAGTGTTAATCCAGCAGAGCAAAGCGTATTTGGCTGAGAAATGCAGCTGACTGAAGTTGGTTGGATGCTGCGATGCTGAAAAAATCAAATAACGCTAAAGACATCAACTGGCAAGTGTTCACTATCAAGAGAAATTAGAATGTCAAGCCCCGATTTTGCTGCCAGCCTGCCAACACCAACTTTCCTGTAGTTATACCTGCAACAGTGTTCTGTTCAGTGTATGGTAGAGGTACTTCTTGTGATGCCGTACCTACTAATGCTGGTAGCTTGCACAGCGGAATTACATACTGTCAGATGAGAATAAACATGAACAGAAAAGTGGTTTGACCGTGGTTAAGTTTTACTTGCTTTAAAGGCCGAGAAAAAATCGTTCAGCTGTAGCACCCTTTCTGTACCTAACTGCCATGACGCCAGAAGGAAGCACGAGGGCTGGGATGATGCCAGGCTGCCCAAGCCTAGACAGGGGAAGTCACGAGGCAGAGGTAGGGTTTATCCCTGAATCTGACGGGACGTGTGTATCAAGCTACAGTACGGGCTGTTTCGTGTGGGTTGGTGTCAGCGAATCCGTAACGAGGCAGTTAGAAAGCGGGGACTTCTATTGAAGAATGTGTCTGGCACCAGAAGCTGGGTTGGTTGGGACATGTGTTACGTATGCCGAACCATTGTTTGCCGAAGAGAGTACTGTTTTCCATGCCTAATTCGGAGTGGCGTAAACAGAGAGGTGGCCAACCCTTGACTTGGCAGAGTATGAAGGAGATCACGAAACGTTTGGGTGCTGTCGGTGCTACTCGCCTTCCAGGATGGGGACCGCGTGATCCTCACTGTGCCTGGTTGGAGACACTACAAGATGTGGCTGCCAACCGATGTCAGTGGCGTTCTTCTTGTCAGTTTCTATCCAGATCGTCCGAGTGAATGTCTGGAGGTGTAGGCACCTTGGAATGACTGTGGTAAGCTAGCGCTAAGTCCCTTCCCCGTCTACCTTTACTCTTTTCTTTACAATAAGGCTTTCAAATAAATCATGGTTATGCAGCAGTGAAGCATCGGTGTTAAACACTGATGTCATGCTGTCGATGATGATGATGATCAAATCACGGACCTTCCGGTCAGTAAATTCGCGCCCTAACAACTGAGCCATCTCGCTCCCTAGACTGTAGACCACACTGTTGTTCGCCTACTCACCAGTAAATTGGCATTTGGAGCGTAAACAACAGTTATCAAGTTACTTCACCATTACCAAAGTAGTCAAGTAACTCAATGTCATCAATAGAATATACCTGCTTCCTGATATAACTGAGTGTAACGAAATTAGCTTTTGTGAAGGGGTACTGTTTGCACATGCAACAATCAGGTATTTTATCAAATCAGTCAACAACTGATTTCTTACCATGCGGAGAGTACAAAGCTTCACTAGGAAGAAAAATCAGTCGAGAAGAGGTCAACATCACTAAATAATCGTTCAGTGGAATTCGAATACGTTAAGAACGAGGCCCCGGGAACTCTTAGAGAACAGAAACATCGGTTGTTCCTCTTATAAAACTTTCAAGCGACGGTAGTGATTTAAGTAATTATGAAGTGACCATTGTGTCGGGAACTGCTCACCCTAGCCTCCACGGAGCAATATCAGAAAGAATGCTGTCCAGCAACACCAGAGAAACTTAACCTCAATCGCTTTGGATCACTTTGTTTTTTATGCAGCTTGCATTCACCAAGACACTCCAAAAGTTTCCCAATTCTAAATGCAAACGCAATGCATCGCTTCCGATAGCATCGCTATCAACCTGCGAGGACATACACGAGGTTGAGGTCTATGTGGCAGCTGAAAACTTCCCAGTTCACTCACAACGAGTGATAGTTTCATTTGGACTTTGCCCATATATGCGCGCTTTTCTGTAAGGTGAGCAAAGTTTTGTGCGGTTGTATGATTCACAGGACATTTCGGTTTTGCCCACTGAATGAGAAAAATGCAACCTCACCGGTCTTTGATCAAGTGGATGTCGGCCTGTTCGTCGAGCATGGCAAACGTTTCATCGCCAATCGAAGAGACATTATACCAACTGCGCACTTATCGTGTCTTCTTAATTTGTAACGAAACATTTGCAAGTCAACTATTTTCAAAGAAAAATGTCATACTCGGTTTCGCGCTGTTAACAAATGCAACTTCTAACGCCCTGCGTTTTGGTTGGGACTATGCCTCTTTACCAACCACGCTAGCTAAATAAGTGATATAGAGCCCCAAGTAGCAGGTAAAATAAAACGCTGACATCTTTTTAGTGACATTTGAGTAGTCCGGAGCAATTTCGGGGTGTTGTCTGTCGTCAGTCGGTACTCACCAAGCTGGCCTTCAGCTGACACTTACGGGTGTGGAAAAAGCCAACTGCAAGTAAATGGGTCAATCCAAATGAAATTTACCATCTAAAAAACAGCCAAACGCCATTCGGTATCTAACAGTAACGGCCTTCCAGTAGCTTAGCTGGATTGGCTCTGTCTAGATAAATAGAAGTAAGGTAGAAAACGTTCACAAGTGATCGGACGATGAAGCAAACTATCTCGGACAGATGGTCTGTACGTCAGGTTTGTTTTCTTTCGTCCCCTACAGGAAACTTTCTGCGGGAGAAAAACGATTGTGGTTGGTTGCCAAAAGTGAGTCCCTGTTGCTTTTCATGTCACAGCAAGAAGCAAATTGGCGAGCAAACCAGAGAGGCGGTTTGCTGCATGTTAAGAAAACAACCCGATTTGTCAGGTAAGAGGATTTAAGGGCGCGGGTACAACCACCCAAATCGACACGAAGTGACCAAAACCAAAATCGACAGTTTATGAAGGACATACAGCTCACCAACAGTGAAGCACTAAACGTAGAAAATACAGTAAGAGAACACTCATTCCCAACGTTATAAACAGCCTTCTATGGTAGAGTGTGACGTATACAGGTGGTAAAAACGCCAAACCAATGCGTCCAGACTCACCCTGAGGAAAGTTAATATCACTAAATAATTTTTGATAGTCATGCGCCGAGTAGTTCAATTTGGGAGTTATAATAATCGGTTCCGAAGGGGGCCATAGTCTTGGATCCGGCATGAGAAATGCTGTGGATGGTAAGGATCGCTGAACCTCGCGAAAACTGAGCGGACTTCGAATGAGTACACCAAAATTGTCCCCTGAAAATAGAAAAATACAAATATGACAACCAGTGTCGACAGAAAAAGAGTATGTGACCAACAACAAACAACAAGCAAGTTGTACGTAAACAAAGCACTTGAGCTCTAAGCCTACCCCAAATAAAATGCGGAAGGAGATGCAAAAGTAGAACTAATGTGACCAACCATGGAAATCGAATAGACTAACTAGTTGAAAGCCGAAATGGTATATACACTATTGTCCCAAGAGGGACACATAAAACCGTCTCTGTCGTGTCTGGTCGGAATGCAGGGAAAAGTTAAAGACGCATGTAGTCGTGTGTTCGTTGACAATATCAGACAGTATGCTTGCCATGCAACGGGAAGTTGACAAACGCCTTTCTTCCGAACCCCGTCAGCCCCTGTGAGGATCGAAACCTCACGACCAGTTGCAATTGAAACTGAGCAACCATCTGTTCCGAAATACTGCTCGCTTTGAGGTATGATGTAGACGATAACAGAAATAGAATGGCGCGACCTAGAGCAGTTTCTAGTTTCTGTCTGTCAAGTGTCTGTATCAAGTGCTGATCGCAAGAGAGTTTCCTAGGTTTCGCTAAGGGCAAGAATATCCAACTTACGTTCCTTTCGACTATGCAACTAAAAAGTTACTATTAATTCAAGTTCCATTAGACCCCAAAAGAATCGACTACGCAGACCACGGGCCTTTCCGCTGACCATTGGCTGGGGCGATAATAGCATTGGCCAGATAACAGGTGAACATGTTTAGAAACATTTGATATGCACGACTGGGTGAGCCAGCATCTTCAGTTGCAAGACAATTCCTGATCATAGTTCACTCAAATGACCCAAGTCAATCATTCGCACGCTTGTCGTGCAAACAAACATCCCGACTGTTAGCATTCAGCGAAGCAACCAACATGAGACAACGATCTACATTGACAGATTAGCCGTCATTCTCTAATGTTAACATGCCCGTAACTTGACAGGGTTCTAGTACCAACTAAGTGATGGAATGTCCGCAAGAAAGTTTCACAGCACCAATTCACTTGAAAATTGGGTGCTGTGAGATTTTTGCGCCTTTTTTGGATGAGGTCCGCATGACTCTCGCTGAATGTAAGGAGAAACCTAACAGAACATGAGCACGCTGTCACTTCCTGGCCGGATCGCCTAGCCAAAGTGTGTCTGTCGTTGTATGCTTGGGTCATAAAGAGTGAGCTTGGCAAAGACGTTGGGTCAATCCAAATGGTGACATGTTACTTCGACGTGATTTGCAGATGCGTTTACTTCATTGTTCCAATGTATGAGCACCTTGTTCTTGACTGTTTTCCGCGGGCCGTTTGCAACAGGTCTCCGCCACTCTCCTTTCTACTTTTCACTAGACGTGCTGTCTCACGATTGCATGGCGGCTAAACAAGAGCACTTACTACTGGTGTATTGCTGTCGATGACAAAACTGCTGGGGCTGATAAAATGGAATGAATTTCGGAACTGAGTACACCGAGTACGTTACTATTATACGATAAGGTGGGAGAATACAACTTACCACTGACTTCTAGTTTAAGAGCTTTGACGGATCCACCCAGAGGGCCACTGACAGACAAGAATGCTTTGATGTACTTTCGCTTCCAATCGTTTGACTGGGCATGCAGAAATGCCAGGCAGTACAAAGATCCAAGACTATGTCCTAAAAGAACGACTCGTCGGGATCCAGCAATAATGTAGGTTTCCTCTATCAACAATCGCAACCGCTGCTGAAAATCAGGATTCTCGTCTATAATTTTGAGCAATCAAAGAGCAGTAAGACTTACTCGGGGCTCTTCTAAAATCGAATGGCGTTCCGCGTAATGTTCTATTGGAGACATAAAACGGGTCCTGGCGAAGTGATGTTACAAGATGTTCAAAATAAACAGTTCCACTATGTTTGTATGTGTCAAGATTCTCAATCGACCAGGTGTCACCCCAACCGGGGAACGTAACATTGCACAAGTCCGAGTCGTGTATCTCGCCCGTTCGAGGATCATATATAATACTTGATATGATAAATCAATGCGATATACTTGGACACAGAGTTACCTGAAGTATTGAGCGAGTGTCCCCGGTGTGATAAAATAACGCAAGTTCACCCATAGAAGAAAACTCTCCACACTCCCAGTTGGACTGCAATATGCCTGACTGCCACCATCTCCCGGCACAAGAACAATGGGGGATTGTGTTTCGGCAATAACATAATAAGGACTGTGTAGTAAAATTAGACAAACCACAAGCAGTAGGAACTAGTGAAAGCGGAGTTAATTGCAACCAAGCGTACCATCAACAAAGTGAGCGATTGCGATAGGTTACACGCCAATGGATAAGCTCCGAGTGAAGGATGCGCGACCTTAACGAACTACCTGAAAGGTGGAAAAAAGAGGGAAATTGTTCTGTAATGCTTTTCCTACATAGGAAACCCCCAAGCAAGCAAGAGTTTCAGGGAGAAACTACATATCTTATAAAATTGCATAGAGTGTATCCTCTTTACAAGCGAAAAAAGCCCGTTACAGAAATGGCTTGTGGGTTTCGCCCGCACTCTAGAAATGCTCCCAAAGACGTGATACTAACAGACTATGATATGAAAGTTCCGTCCTTCCTGCGATGATGTTTCCAGCAAAGTGAAAGGTCAAAACGGATATCCGAATCTTCGAACAGATTGAGTGACCGCTAGTTTCTTGATTAATGAGACAGGTTTTCGGGTCCCCGTTCACAGGCTATCAGGCGATCGACTGATCACCCGACTAAATTGCGAAATAAATTATCTTGGATGGTCATATAAGCTTTGATTTGTTCGGTCAATAGGGATTTTACCGCGATTGCAACTGAGTTCTTGAACAGCATGGTAAAATAATAACCGTTCAGCTGTAAAGCCCTTACGGTGCCTAGCCGCCATGCTACTCGAAGGGAGCAAGAAAGCTGGGACACTGCCAGCTAGACAAGGAAAGTCGAGAGGCGAAGGTTGGGTTCGAACCACGGACCTTCCAGTCAGTAAATTTGTGCTCCAACCACTGAGCCATCTCTCCTCCAAAACCGATTTCCTGTACAGCATGGATAGCAGGCGCATTTGATGCAATGAATGGTGCGGGTACTGACTTGTCTCGATGAGAGCGGATTAGTTGAGCGGCTTGATACGTAGAGCCAATTTGTGCAATATGGCGGTAATTACGTGGTCATGTTCAAAACGCAGTTTAACAAAAAGTTCTCTCTCTTTCATTGAAAAATCAGACTGCCGTTTAGGCTGTGGCTTGCTGGAGATACTGATGAATTTCTCTCCGTGGCAAGTGCAATTAAAAAGTGGCCCCGAAGGCATCTGCTGTGCAGAAGAGACACCTATGTCTGTCTTAATTCCCCCGCAGCCGACTGGGTCCGGTTATTAAGGACACTCGAAACTTTTTTTTGCATCTGATGGTTCTGAATAACTTGCCGTGGGTCAACCGCAGTGCGTGGCTTCGTACTTCCATGCTCTATGGGAATTAGTCGGTATACCACCGGGTGGAGCAGGTTCACACAACCAAACACTCACCAGGGTTGAAAAACCTCTCCTGTGCAGTTCTGAAGTAACACCTTTTCTGATATCTCTGGGTGGCCCGCCGGTGTTGTCGAGCAAGCTCATGGCCGCGAACGAGACCCGACTGCATGCGTCGCACGAACACCTAAGGATAAAATGCTACCATAGCCGGGGTAGGTAATGGTGTGTCGGAAGGTATTCGAAACCCCGGTTTGTTAGTATAAAGGATGGGGTTTGTCCGATAGGCGTCTGGATAGTAGCACGGTAAGCCAAGTAGTGGCCCAAGTGGTTGGAGCGCGAATTTACTAACCGGAAGGTCCGTGGTTCGAATCCGACCTTCGCCACTCGACTTCCCCTGTCTAGGCTTGGGCAACCTGGCGGTATACCAGCCCTCGTGCTTCCTTCGGGTGGCATGGCAGCTAGGCACCGGAAGGGTGCTACAGCTGAACGCTTTTTCTTTCTACGGTAAGCCAGCACACAGCGCGGTAGTGCCACATCTCACTTTGTGACCGGTGTACAAAAAGGGGGCCAATGCAGTGAACGGTGTCTGCCAGTTTGATCGACTTATATGGGAGCGTTGGTGATGTACGGCCTTGTTTACTGGGCTTTGACTCATGAGCTTTCCTTCTTTTCGATCCACAGAAATTATCGCGAACACCTGACTTCAGAGAATCACTGCCCTCTGGTGCTTCCATAGCGTGCGTACTACTGTAGTATACGGTGTCGGTCAGTTTGAGTGATTTATGTGTAAGTATTGGCGATATACAACCTTGCTTACTGGGCTTTGGCTCATGAGCTTTATTTCTGTTTTCCATTCACAGAAATTGTCGTGACCACCTGCTTTTGGAGAATCACTGTCCCCTGGTGCATATCACACTACAGCAGCAACTGACTATATGTCCAACCTCATAAACCGAATACGTCACGAAAACGTCGACAAGAATAACACAAAGGTTTCACTGCGGAGAACCGAACGACAAGTACGTGGGCTCAATGCGGTATTCAGAGCTTACCTGCGACGTGAAACTGAGGCTGTCCGGCAATGTCAGGCTCGATTGAGTCATCGCTTAGAGGACGCGTCCGGGTGCTCGATAAAAAGGCTCGTCGCTGATTGGCTCGTTGAGGATCCAATCGCAGACGGCTTTTCGGGCCCGGAGATTACACGACACGGCTGCAGAAGGTAAAGTACAACTTTTGAAAATTCGGGCCTTCTATGCATAAACGTCCATATCTGGAAGGGCCGCAATCTGCTTTGTTATCGCAGAAATTTATTTGACTCACCCTATTCTGAATTTCAAGTATTAAATTGGCGCTATCATTACAGGAGAGGATCTAGTAGGACGTCGCAAACGATGAATGAAGAGGAAGAGGAGCCGACGTGGCAAACCACAATTATTCAGCATGCAGAAATAGTTTCCGACCCAGTGACCAAGTCAAATTTGGGCTAATGAACAGCGTATGTCCAGCTGTCACAATATATACCACCAAATGATGGGTGACTAATCAAAGACGAGATTGCAAGGCAGAGTATGGGCTCCAGCTAAATACTTGAGTTGTTACAGGCTCGCATTCCTCAAACTCTTAAATGAATACATTTCCTGATACCTTTTATTACTGGGATCTTGGAACTGCTGCGGTTGCCTTGCCTCAGGTCGATATCAGTTGATATTAGTCTTCAGATTTAGTGTTGAACCATAGAGTACCAGTGATTATGCATTACAGTCAAACCCAAGCGTTTTAGAGTCATATCGTCTCTTTTCCAATAACTGCATGCAGGTGCTTCCCTATGGTTTCCTGCTTTGCCTCACGACCGCTGAACATATGCACTCTGCCTATAACGTAGTTCCATCTGCGCAAGTTTCCATATTTGCCCATATCAGAACCAGCGTGTATCGTTTCTAAGAGTTTGTGAACATAGAACGTCCTCGTATTTGTGTTAAAAAACCATTATCCAAGTCTAATAAAAGGCGTGCTATCTGTAAAGCAATATTATCCTCCAGGTAGTTCTGTAAACTAATTATTATTTGCAATTCGGCACGGCTGACATCCCGATCACTGAGCTTAAATCAGTACGAAGCTTTCTCCGGTAATAATTTGTTTTTTTTTACCTACCTGTAACGACTATCTCCATCCGCCATACAGAAAAAGTTCTCTTTAGCGAAATAACAATGACGTAAACACTTAGAAACATTCTTTATTTCGCACAAAGTGAGCAAGATATCTTTTGTTTGTCAGGCTCAATCTCACTTATAGGAATTCATGACCATGTCGTAAAATGTATGTTACCTGAGCCCATGGGCCCGAGTTTCTCCTTAGAACAAACGATAGGGCTCAGAGGCTAGCGAAGTGTGGTTGCCGGCAGAATTATCGCCGTTCACGAGTAGTGCTACATAGCGATTCCGCAGTGACTATAATGAAGGTGCTATATCGATTAATGCCACGTATGCATCGTGCGACGCATAAAGACCTACCACTAGCACCAAAGCGATCAGGAGGAAAAATCATTTGCTAGATAGGGCCGTTCAAAGTGGCAACCGAAGAATAACCCCTGGGCACCCACGGCACATCGGTGTTTCCGGGCATCATTCGGCGCAGTTGCCAAGCCTCTGATAACACTTCACCAGAAGCGATAATATGATTGACGTAACTTACTGTCATCTTATTATTTTTAACATGCTGATAACAAAACCGCCGGGATCGTGGTCTCAGGTGCCTCACAAGAAAAAATGCGTGCGCAGTCATTCAGCAGAACACGCTTGAACCTCAGCCGTTGCCCTACAATATTTGTATTCGGAAGCATAAATCACATACTCTCTCATAAGCAAGTCGAGGCGCACTAAGTAGGGCCTGTTCATTGGAAACTGTTAGAGGGGTGTAACCGCGGTTGAAACGTTCACTAGCTTTCTCTAAACGGCTGAGGATTGTATCGCTAAAGCGGACCATGCCAGATCGTTTGTTGAGATTTCAATTGCAAGTGACGACCGGTGGACCGTGGATAAAGAAACGATCCTCAACCCCTCCGGCGCAGTGCTCAAAAACACGGGCGATAGTTCTTGGCTGGCAAGGCGACAAAATGGAAGTATTTTGAGAGCTTGTCCGCAATAACCATACAATGGAATATGACGGCTAATAACGGCGAGTGTCTGTAACCTAAATGCAAGTAGTTTGTACGATGTCTGTGAGCTTCCTGATAGGCCCATGGATGTTTAATTGAGGCGGTGCAACGTCACAGCAGAACGCGCATCGGGCTGCTGGAAGTTGTCCAGTCCGCTTATTCACAACGAATGATTTTACTTGACAATTTTTGCCCATCTCCCCCCAAAACAAGCAAAGTAGTCTTCACGCATGGGCAGACTCACAATAGCAAATATGACGAGATGCCTTATAAACATGTGACCGATGCCCCAAGAGGATCAGTATAGGTTGTCAGGTAACATAGGCTTACACATGCTCCCTCGGTACTAACATCGTCCAAGAATATTCTAAATAGTCCACCCTGCCGCGCTCAGACGAAGTCTAGTGCTGGAGTGAGCCTCCTTTTGCTGTAATTCCAGTGCTTGTCCGCATCTGTGAAGATAAGCCGAGACCAAAGTAAGGCCATCTATCATAATGAAACCTAACTCTCAAGTTCTCACTCGGCAGAAGCATTCAGAATTTTGGGCAGTATTTGCATTCGCCCTGGGTGATAAAGACTTTCAACTTCACTGGTTTAATTTGTCGCATTCAAGACGTCAACATTTCGTGCTTTAGGAAGCAACTGTCGGCACCATGCTCCTGTTCGGTTAGCGGTCGGTTTAAAGAAAGTCAACCGTTCGAAAACTAATAGCTTCATGATTGTGAAAAGACTGATAAATGAGGCCTCAATCTTGAGACAAAACCTTAATTGAAGCCCGGTGCTTCGTGCGCTGTTTGTCAACAGATATGCGCAATAGTATGGCCTCATCTAGCTTTTTAGCGAGCCCACACTTTGGGCGGTTTTTAACACTGAGTGCATGACATCATCATCACATATTTTCCCTTATTTATTTATTTGGTACATTCCAGAATGTTGTGTAGAAAAAAATATGCATTAACAGTTATCACTCGTAACGTGTGTGCAGTAAGGTTCACAAGTTGTGGTGTAGCAAATTTCAAATTGAATTCGCACCAAAACCTTCGATTGTAGCCAATGCAAACGACACAGTGTACATAGAACATACATATAATTGCTGCTTGTTGATGCAGGTGTTTCCCTTTATACTCTGCTATCTTGCAGAAAGTTGCATATGCCTGAGAGGAGTAGAAGAAATGCGAAATGGGTGTTCCGACCTTTTTAGGCACACCGGTTACACCCAGACTCGGAGTAGAAAGCGAGTTCGGAGCACCTACTACATCCACGCTCTGGAGAGCGAACAAGTCTCTCTTAGTTATCCAATTTGTTTGTCCGTACTCTGTATCGTAACTCCATGTGCCTTCCAATTTCTTAACTAGCTGGATTAGTGAAGCCTTAGTTGAGGTAGAATGGCGAATGGCCCTCCTTCATGGTGTTCTGGAATTAATTTATGTAGTTCAACTTCGCAGCTGCCCATAACGTTTGGTGGAAAGGTGCGTTGGTAAATAAGCGCTTATGCCACATCATATATCATATAGAATCTTAGCTCAGCTTGTGAAGACAGCAAGCTCAGTTTCATCCCAGTGAAGTGCTTGAAGAAAGTGACATTTTTAGCGCAACAGGTTAGTAATCTACTTCCACACGCCGTCATGTCGAATGGCCAACATAGCGTTTACTATCAATTTGAAGACTGCACAATTATTCCCCTAACTTATAGTGACCTACAGCATATCGGGTACGTTTGGCATTGGTGCCACAATTATTTAGAAACAATATGCTGGAAGGTTTTGCTGTTACTACCGGCAACGTGTCCAAGCTCAGTTAAACCAACCCGCCTGCCTCGTCCGATGTGCGCCTAGACTCTTTTGAGTATTGTTATGTTCCATTTTCCTCCAGCAATCTTGATTGCACAGCAGCAAAATCACGTAATACAAACGTGTGTACATGCCTCCGGGAAGACAATTGATATCTTACGATTCTTAACTCAGCTGAGAAAACCACTGGACGCAAAATTAAAAAATATGGCTTTGATCCATTCAACGTCGGTTTAAACGCCCCAAATTTTGTCAGGGTTAACCGTGGTACGCAGTGCATTGCCTATTCCTCAGCTGAAGTAGGGTCGGCTGGGTGCCTGGATTTCTATGCAAGAGATAGGAGAGAGGGGCGCTAAATCTTCCAATTAATAGCAGTCTTAAGGATAGATTTGAGGGGAAACATGAGAACATGTTTAGAGACAATCGGGCATGGGCACTTTGGTCTGCCCCCACCGTCCGCGACCATGGCATTTGCCATATCTACCCAAAAAAGGAACAGGCAGACAAACTTGTGAACGGAGGAAATAAAATTCATTAGGAGGGTTTCGGTATTACAATTCTGAGATCTGATTGTCCAACTCAAAAGCTCAAAAGCTCAAAAGCGCGTCAAAATGCTCGCCGACCTGGATCAGATTTGGGAATGTTTATCGGAAGGAGCTTTAAGGAGCTTCCATGAAGACCAATGTAGGAAACTAAGGCCATTCAAACCCCAGGCAAAATAAATCCCTAATCAAGCAAATCTTTCCCGCTTTAATTCTATATACCAGGAGTAGAATGATGTGAAATGTGAATCTCGGTCTAAAGGTTCTGAGAAGTTCAAAATTATGGCCACCAAATTAGGCCCCTCTTCTTTTGATTGCTGATGACGAGAGGATCGTTTCTTCGTGGATAAGAGTCTACAACAAATCCGCGTGGTGCCTGCTTCATCAGGTTACTGGATTTTTTATTATTTAGGATCATCCGCTTCAGAGAGTGTTCCTTCAATCTCTAGGAATGCGAGTGAACCAGTTTGTAACTGCAGAGTAATAAACGGTGATCAGATTTAGCGGACGTCACGATGCTCACTTTTCCCGAGCGAAACTTGGTTAGCCTTTGTCCAACCACTAACAAATTTCCGATAGAATTATTCACCCAACAAACGCGACGCTTCTCCTAGTATTCTTTGATGCATTTCTCCTGGCCGCGGCGCTCTG